TCTATTTTCAATCCAATTCTCCAACCAATTTTTTGTCTAGGATTAAATTTCTTCTTGGTCTCCAAAACATAACATTAACAATGATTATCAAATTAAATCCAACATTAAGTGAGGAATTAAGGCATTATTCATTAAGATTAATTAAGTATTGAAATTAGTATGCAATCCTTTTCCATGCAAAAAAAAAGGTGAAGAGAAAAATGTATGGATGTAGTAAAGTTTAATCTGATCATCTCATCATTATGATTTATTATTTTTGTCCATACAATATATATTCCTTCCGGTCCCACAAAATAGTATTCAATTCATATACGCTTTCTCCCCAGCTTCATGCCGCTAACTTCCTCTTCTGGTCAATTCAATGGCGACCCATTTCCTCATCACTCCCTTTCCACTTATCACTAACCATTCTCTTAAACTACCACCTCTCATTCGTTCCACCCCCTCTGCAAAATCAACACCTCTCATTCGTTCCACCCCCTCTGCAAAATCAACACCTCTTTCTCTCCCATATATTCAAAAATGCTCCTTTTTGTGTTGCCCAATAGCTCCTACAGTGTTGGGTTCCAGTTTGTTGCAAAAGGGTACTCATGGAAGTTCTCAAAGTAGGCAACTTTCAACTCGATCAGCTCAAACTGATTCTGGAAACACTTCATCACTCACTCAAAATGTGAGTCTTTATGTTTGGTTTGGTTTAGTTTTTTTTAACTGAAATTTACCTTAAACTCACTTTTAGTCAGAATTAATTCACTAAAAAAATCAATTTTCTTTACTGCATAACCAAACACACGCTTATCCAAACATAAATTATTTTATCTTATTAATTCAATCTAAATCAAAATTTGCCACCATTGAACCAAACAGTCTATATGTAATAAGTTTAAGTTTTTTTCCTTCTAAATTTCAGGTGTTTGGGGTGTTACATTTGATTGTGTCTCTGGGGCTTTTTGTTGCTACAGACAAGTTTTTGAAGCAAGCATTTGTGGCTGCTGCAATCAAATTCCCTAGTGCATTGTTTGGAATGTTTTGTATATTCTCAGTTTTGATTATTCTCGACTCAACTGTGCCATCTGCAGCTACAGCAGTGGTGAACTTCTTTGAGCCTGCTTTTATGTTCATTCAGAGATGGCTCCCTTTGTTCTATGTTCCTTCTTTGGTTGTCTTGCCCCTTTCTGTTAGAGATATTCCCGCCGCTTCCGGCATCAAAATCAGCCTTATTGTAGGTTCGTGCACGCATCTATTGTTTGTCTCTTTCTACAAAACAACAGCTCATCATTTGATTGGTGTTTTAATGGCGATGTTTATAATGTTGTTCAGTTGGAGGATGGCTAGCTACACTATGTGTTGCTGGTTTCACAGCTATAGCAGTACGAAAAGCCGTCAAAACAACATTGATTGACGCTGAGCCAATGGGAAAGCCTTCTCCATTTTCTACCGTTGAAGTGTGGACGTGGGCCGGGATTCTCCTAACATCATTTGTTAGTGCACTATTTTATCCAACTTTGTTGGGGACAAGTGCCAGAACATGCCTTCCGTTTTTGCTTTCATCCACAGTGTTGGGCTACATAGTTGGTACTGGGTAAATATTTTCATTTTTATTACTGACGGTTATCGTATGCAATTCGAATCTTTACTAGAAGTTGATTCTTTCTTGTTTTTTTCCCCCTTCAGGCTGCCATCGAGTGTGAAGAAGGTCTTCCATCCTATAATTTGCTGTGCACTATCATCAGTTTTGACAGCATTTGCTTTCGGGTATTTTTCCAAGTTAGGACTCGATCCTGTTCTAGGATATTACTTTACCAATGCATCCAACAATCCCGGAGCCGGTGACATTTTAATGGGATTTTTGGGTTCTGTTATTCTATCATTTTCCTTCTCTATGTTCAAGCAAAGAAAGGTAATCCATTTACGTTTCCTAGTAAACAAGTCTTATACTGTCGCAAAAAACTAAATCAGATAAGCGGAATAGAAAACTTGCTTTGCAAAATTTTCTCACACCGTAATTAAATGACAACTAAACCATTAATCATTAACTATTGATTTGTCTACTACATTCAGCTTGTGAAAAGGCATGCAGCTGAGATTTTCACCTCGGTCATCATCTCAACAATATTCTCATTGTACTCAACCGCCCTTGTCGGACGTCTTGTTCAATTAGAACCATCCTTAACTGTGTCCATTCTACCCAGATGTATAACAGTAGCGTTGGCCCTCAGCATTGTGTCCTTGTTTGACGGTAAGTCTCATGCATGCAGCGTAACCATCCCAATAATCTTAAAAGGGATGTCCTAAAATTTGCTTTGTATTTGACTGTACTTTCATTTCACCTTAGAGAATTTTCATTTTCTGTCTACAGGTGCCAATCCATCTCTCACAGCAGCCGTGGTTGTAGTAACTGGTCTAGTTGGGGCGAATTTCGTGCAAGCAACTCTTGATAGACTCCGATTTAGTGACCCGATTGCCAGAGGAATAGCAACTGCTTCTAGGTATTTTCAGTAAACGATACGCTACTTATTTACCAAACATTATTTTCTCTGTAACCCACGCTGACATTGTATTTGGACCCTGCACTCTGGTGTGGATCGGCGTGAACTCTTACAATTCCCATGCCACCGTTTTAATTTAGGTCCTTTTTGGATAGGATGTTGCGTTGGATGTATAGTATGACTAGATAAGATATGATTAGAAATGATAGCATTAAAGAGAGTTAAAATATCACCTATCATAGAAAAGAAGGTGGAAACTCGACTTAGATGATTTATGCATGTAGAGAGAAGACCTTAGACCTTGTAGTTTTTGTAGTAACAAGAGTAGATCAGATAAAAAGTAGTCAAAATCACTAGATTCATAGGAAAACATAGAAAAACCAAGACATAAATTATTAAGAAATATCTAGAGATTAATGAGTTAAATGAAAATATGATATATGATAGAACATTACATCGTCATTTGATCAATGTACCTGGGCCCATTTAGTGGGATACGACTTGATTATTGTTGTGAATAAACAATTTTATTAAGCACTTAATAGAATTAGCGCTTATCAGATAAATGGTTATTATAAACTATTTTTATAACAAAAAGATTAAAAACAAAAAAGTCAACCTGTTTTCATAGAAGCTATCCCGGAGAGCTTGTAGAAATAAGCTCTTAACAACTAACAAACATGTGGTAAGCTATTTCCATGAACTCTCAAAACAATTTTACAAATACTTATACCAGTGAATAAGCTCAAATTTCTTTTATTTTCTTCTTGATGCATGCATGTAATTGTTTGCTTTTGAATAAATTCTGTACAGTGCACATGGACTTGGAACAGCAGCATTATCTGCTAAGGAACCTGAAGCTCTCCCATTTTGTGCCATTGCTTATGCTCTGAATGGCATATTTGGATCTTTACTATGTTCAGTTCCTATTGTCAGACAAAGCTTGCTTGCAATTATTGGCTGAAATTTTCATTCCTTCGTATGCCATAACTTCCATTGTTTTTATTATGGAAGTACTAGTACAAATGTATAGAAAAATATATTGAGAATCATAATTTTGTGAGTTGTATAGGATGCAATAATCTATTCATTTGAATAATAAAATATTTATATCATATTCAGTATTTTTTATAGAAAAATGATTTTCTCCTTTGTCCGAGATCAAACTCTGGTCTTTTAACTCATTTACTCTCGGTGTCTCTGCATGGATGTCAACCGAGCTGACATTCCGGGACATTTATATCATAATCAATATCGTGGAATGTCATATATTCATTTAACACGATACTTAATAACCTTTATTTTGACAGACAAGTTATATTTAGACTATATAATAATTTGCAAAAATTGATTAAAAATAAGATTATATGTTATTACTATATTAAGAACATAGTATAATAATTTGTTAAAGGTACAATATGTGTGTTTAGATGTAAAAGAGTAAAAATGGTGGTGGAAAAGGTTGTAAGATGCTATGTCCTAACACGTGTTTGAATATGAATGAAAGTATTTGGTGGAAGGATATGTTAACGTTGCAATGCAATTGCATATTTTGCATGATGAGTTGGAAGGAAGAAATTTTGAGCAAGTAATGAGTTGTTCCTTCCTTCATCATCGCCTCAATCTCAACAACTTCTTCCACCACCGTATTATAGCTTCTCCTTTCCCCTTTCTTTCTTCTGCTCCTCCTTAATTCATCATTCATCACTTTCTGTTATTCCAGGTTCATTCTTCTCCTTCACCTTCTTCTTTCTTTTTTATTTCATTCATTTCTTTTTGCATTGCATGCCCTAATTGTTTATTCTTCTTCTGTCATGATTATGATTATTATTATTACAATTACAACATGATGCTGTTGAATGCTGTCTTTCATTTTTTAGGTTAATTCTGCCACGGTTTTTCGTAGGTTGATGTGGTTTTCTGCCGCGTTTTTTCTAGGTTGATGTTATAATAAGACAAAATCTAATAATATAGAGATACATTTTCTATGGTGGTAATTTGTTAGCACCTAAGATTCGAATCTGAGACCTTGAGAGGAACACGTTCTCAGGACCTAAGCCTTCACCAATAGGCCAACTGTTGGGTTTTTTGTAGGTTGATATCGTTTTCTGCAGTGGTTTTTCTAGGTTGATGTTATAATAAGACACAATATACAAGAATATAGAGATAGATTTTCTCAAAAGGAATTTTGTATTTAATTATGGTGGTCACAAATAGGTATAAAATAATGAGGTGTGGTGATTTCACACCACATGTGCTTAAATGTCGTTTTATTTTGGTAGATTATGTAAACGTTGCATGAGTTTGGAACACAAAAAATGAAAGATGGAGGAGGCTGCAAATTGCACCATCCTACATTGTGATAATTGTCATTACATTCTTTCATCATACGTTTATATTATATTCATTGTATGTTTTCTAATAATCACAACTTCAATTTCAGAGATTTTTGTGGCACTCTTTCAATTTCTGTTTTAAGAAGTGCCACTTTGTGAAGGAAACGAATAATCATCTATGGAGAACTTTTCAGAATCCCCTAGTCAGTCTAGTGGAGAATCTTCACCAGTTTCCGATTCCGCTAAAGATCTTAAGCATGTCATTGACACAGCCGCACCTTTTGAATCTGTCAAAGATGCCGTCTCCAAATTCGGGGGGATAGTGGATTGGAAAACCCGTAGAACCCAAAGTCTGGAGGTATGTCGTAATCTCTCGCTCAAATGTTTATTTGCTTTCAAATTTTTGGATTTGTAAATTAGTAGTTATGTTCGTTTTCAAGGTTTGAACTTTGAACCGTAGATATTCTAGTTAGAACAACCTCCTTTAGCCTTTAGCGTTGTCGTCTCTTATTTTTTTTTCTCTTCTATTCTTTTGGTTGAACAGAGAAGCAAGATGGTAGGACATGAATTTGGAAAAACGAACACGACTGAGGAATTGGAAAACACGAAGAAACTCATAGAAGAACTCAGACTCAATTTAGAAAGTGTAGAAAGAGATGAGGTTCAGGTTAAAGAAGAAGCCGAACTTGTGATTCGCAAAGTCGAGGAGCTGGAGCAAGACATTGCAGATGAAGCCAGTTTTGAAGCCAAGGCACAGCTTGAGGTTGAACAATCAATGGGAAGTTCCGCGGCTTCGGAATTGGAGTTTTTGAAAAAAGAATTGGACTCTTTAAGGAGAGAGTATGATTCTATGGTGAATGGAAGGGATGTAGCTATCAACAATGCGGAAGAGGCTGTTGCGGCATCTAAAGAGATTGAAAAAGCAGTTGAAGATTTAAATGCTGAGTTAATTGCAACAAAGGAGTCATTGAAGTTGACTCGAACGGCGCATTTGGAAGCCGAGGAACAAACATCAGGCGTCGTTGACGAAGAAACTCACAACTGTAAGCTTGAACTCGAACAATCAGAACAAGAACTAGAGACACTAAACCAACAAGTTTTATCAGCAAGAGTTCTCAAATCAAAATTGGAAGCTTCTTCCTCTTTGTTGCTCGAATTGAAAGCCGAGTTAGCAGCGTACATGGAATCAAAACTAGAAGATGAAACCGATGTTTTAAGAAAGAAGGAACTCGAGGAAGTGAAGATGAACATAGAAAAAGCAACAGCTGAGGTCAACAGCTTGAAAGAAGCTTCGACATTGCTTCAATCAGAACTAGAAGAAGAGAAGTTGATTCTCAACAACTTAAAGGAAAGTGAAGAAAAAGCTTCTGCTAAAGTCACTGATCTTCAAGTTGAGCTTGAGAAATCAAAATCAGCAATAGCTTTTCTTCAAATGAAAGAAAATGAAGCAAGAGAGGTTATGGCCGAGTTGCCTAAGAAACTTCAAGCAGCAGTACAAGAAGCCGATGAAGCCAAATCATTATCTCAAGCTGCTCAAGCTGAACTACTTCAAGCACAAGAAGAAGCTGAAAAAGCCAAAGCAAGTTTAGCAACATTGCAAAACAGATTACATGCTACAAAAATGGAGATAGGTATTACTGAAATATCTCATTTATCGATAACTTGACGAATTGATCATTAACGAATACAAACGACTTGATGAAGAAGATAACTAACCTAACTAAAGACATGTTTATTATGGATTATAAAAAAAGTGATTTGTTTTTTCACAAACGAGCTCTAACTCTTAATTAACTTTATCTCTTATTATAGGAGCTTCGAAAGTTTCCGAAAAATTGGCTAAAGATTCAATCAAAGCATTGGAGAGAAGTGAATCAACTAGAGGAGGAAGCAACAAAAAAGAAGTTGATACTTCATCTCTTGTGACACTCACATTAGATGAATACCATGAACTGAGCAAGAGAACTCAAAAAGCCGAGGAACAAGCTAATCTAAGAATCGCAGCTGCAAATTCACAGATTGAGATGGCAAAGGAATCTGAATTAAGAAGCTTGGAGAAACTAGAAGAACTGAATGAAGAGCTGTGTGTAAGAAGAGAATCATTGAAAATTGCAACCGAGAATGCTGAGAAAGCGGCAGAAGGAAAATCAGCTGTAGAACACGAGTTGAGATCGTGGAGAGCTGATCAAGAACAACAAAGGAAGGATAGCGAGGTTAATACTACTTCTCCTGCTGCTGCAACTGTGAATGTAAATGATTCACCACACACCTCAAAGGGAAAAGCTCCTTTAGAACATAATACCGATAATGATAATAATAACAATGAAACTGGATCATCTTCGGATGCGAAGAACAAAAAGAAGAAGAAGAAATCATTGTTTCCTTCAAAGGTTATTATGTTCTTTGCTAAAAGGAAAACACATCCAAGCAAGTGAATGTAAACAATTCTTCAAGTGATGAAAAGCAGTACAGTACTATAAGTCTTTAAAACAAGTCTTGTTTCTGATGAGGTTATTTATTGTCCTGCTAAAATTTGAGAGTTTGTATTAAATTAATTCTTTTGTTGCAAAAAGGAAATAAGATCAATTTATTGTATATACAAGGTTTGGAAGTAATAGCCCTATTATAGCTGCTCTATTATTTCAAAATTTCAGCCTTTATCACTAAATTACAATTTGCTATAATGAAATAAAAGACATTCAAGAGTCTACATTTGCTACACCTAACTTCCATTGGCATAGACAATCTGTTTGAACAATCTTCCATGAAACTTGATTCAGCCAATAACCGGCTTGTTCAAATAAAGTTTTACATAACCCTTTACATACCTTCTATGTGATGCTTCCATAGTTTTGATGACCACTTTAACATATTTCCAGATGGCTCTAGTAAGGGCCAAGAGCACACTCTCATTGTACTATTTCATCCCCAGCTTTTGGCAATTTCTTTTCCCATCCCCGTGCCTTCTCACAAATCCTTAGTGAAAATTAAAAAATGTCCCTATAGTTTAAAGATGCATCTTCCAACACACCGTTGATTATTTTTACTAAAATTTAATTCGGAGATACATCTCCGAATTTATGTCTGATATGCTTCGGAGATGTATATCTGAAAATATTTCCGATGTTTCAAATGAAAAACAGAAAACACAGACAGACAATATGGATAAATTGAAAATTCATAACAGTTTGACATTAAATTAAAATACTCTACATTACATAGATAATTGATAATCAGAAAATTAACATTCCACATCGTTATAAATGGGTAGTTTCGGACGTTGCAACATGTTGATAATATCGTCGAGAAATCTTGCAATCTTCGCATCCACTTCAATCGGACCTTATGTTTCAGATAACCTCTAAATCTGCATCAGTATTTGGTTCGAAGTTGGTGAACTGTATATTCCTGTTGCTGTCAAACGAGGGTGAACGATACTCGAGCTTGACGACGCATCTATTTTCTGAATATCGCAGAAGCGTATTCAGTTTGGATACCAGGCCGGTGTGAGTAATGTCCTTGCAAATCCTAAATTGAAGTGACAGTTTGTCACCATTGAAATACACAAATGCAAGATCAGGATATGTGTTCATTTTCTAATATTTGGTGTTTTATAGAAAATGGGATGAGAGACACCCTATTTATACAAGGCTTGAATCACTTTGGACCTTTGAAACCTTATCATGTCATCAGGACACTTTTCAGATATGCATATCCGGATAAACCCTATTATTTTATGAGTTAATGGTGTTTTTGGATATGCACATCCAAAAAATTCTCTAGAATTTTTTTTTTAAATTAAAATGAGATTTATCCAGATATGCATATATGAAATCACCCATGAACTAGAGCAAGAAACTTAGAAAATATAAATAGAAGTTGTAAACCTAAAATGAATAAACAAAAACCGTCGACATTTGCGCCATATTTACTGAATATATATTAATTATATATTAAATTGTTCAAAACTACATCGTTGACATAATACATTAAAAATGTGCATCTATTACAATCTAAAATGCATTAAAAGATCCATCACCGCATAAATCTACAATTGATTCCGCCTTCGATTTTTTCTGATTTGATTCTCTTTCAAGCTCGCTCAATTTGGTGGGCTCTTCCATCCTTTCCAGAAATTGATTTGGTCAAGTTTCTGTCTCTTTTGTTGATGGTCATTACATAGGATACAATAATTGGAAATTATCTTCTATTCAATTTGAAAGGCCAAAGTGATTGTGATGAGACATATCCATTCTAGGAATGTAGATCACTTTGCCTAGCCTTTTCCACCCATAATTTCAGCTTCAAGAACTTGATTTGTCATTTTAGTCACCATTAGCCTTGTTCCATTGTACAAACTTTCAGATTGATCAATGCAATGAGATGGTTTGACAATCCATAAGTTCTTAGAGAGTTGAGGAACTCAAGACTAAGGACTTCAATAATAGTGTTATTATGAATCTCACTTCGGTCAACTGAATTAGAGCTATAATAATTCTTGAATTGTTCTATGTAAAAAAAATATTAGAATTATATAGAAACAACAAATATGATAGCACAAAGCTAAAAAGGAAAAAAGTGAAAGATTTATTTGGTATGAAAAGTATACCTGACATTATTTCAAGTATATGATTACTAATTTGATTAACTACTTTAAGAGTTGATGCTAAGATAGCTCGACTTTTCAGGTCGTCAAAAGATTTGTAATTATTCTGAGAAGTACTCTCGAATATGGAAACAATAGGATCATCAAAGTGTTCAATTAAAATTTCATGGGGAATATCAATATCAGCATAATCATCATTTGACTCAGAAAGCCTACCTTCACCCAATTTTAATAGCCACTTTGAAAACTCATCAATATCATTTTTTTCTTCAACACTTTGACCTCCTTGCAAACACATATTTTTTTGTTAAAGTCAAGACCTCATAAGAATTTTATATGTAAGATGCACTGAAAGTAGAGTGAACAATATCGGATCTACTCCCTCTAGGGATAACTGGCAAAAAATATCTGAACTCTCTACCAAAACTACTACATTCCCACCAAAAACTTGATCATAGTTGATATAACTACTCATGAATGACATCCTTTAAAGTTTTGTCAAGAGTTTCAAAACAGAATCTTCCTGCCATAGAGGCCTCAACCCAAATAATCAGCTTAGATTTGTGAAGTAATTCAGCATAGTCATCATTTTATTCAATCTTTCAAGTAAAGTTTTTCAAAGTTGGTACAGGTAATTTAAACTTAGAATGAGCAGTTCTCTCCCCAGATAATAATAGAGATGCTATCCCACTTGAGGCCACAATTAAAACAATTTCATGTTTAGACAGTAAAGAAGTTACAAGTGTTTTTCACATGTATGTTTTACCAGTACCTCTGTAACCCTGTAAGAAAAAAAAACTCTTCCTTTTTTATTGTTAACGAAAAACATGATCCTGTCATAGATGTGTTGTTGTTCATCTGGATGAAGAAAGTTGAAAATATTAAAAAAAATTAATAAAATATGAAATAAAAAAATATAATGGTACAATGTAAGAAACCTGTAAGAGCACTGAAGAGCTGATGGAATTGAGATTTCATCAATTCAACATTGTAACTTTGCTCTTCATATATGAGCCAATTTCCCAATTGTTGAAGTACATAGCCATTTGGATACAATATAAGTTTGAAATCTATAAGACTCCTCCGATTAGCTTGAAGTAACTTTTCAAGCTCAATTAATGTTAAATTCTATAATCGCTCTTCAGTCAATAACAAATCTGTTGGAATAAAGAAAGAGTTATTTGAGAGCTAAAAAGTTTTACATGTTGGTGTGAAGAAAGTGATGAAACATGAATGAAACAACAAGGGTTTATGTGTGTATTAAATAAAGTTTTGTACTTGAGTTATTTTCCAAAGTTCTTTGGCCGTGCAAAAGACCATCTGCCAGCAAATTCCAAGTTTTATTCCAAACATTTGCAGGTCTGTTTATAGTTCCAGACAATAGTATAACGACAAACAACTTTCTCAGAAAATGTCCAGAACACCGTTAACTGACCTCTTTAATAGCCCTAATATATTCCATATCATCCTCAAGGAACCCCATTACAAAGCATGCTTCCCTAAATGAGTCATGTTGTTTTTCCTCCACCTTACGAATGTCTTCGTATGTCTTTGGTCCTTTGACAACTATTAGCATCATTCTTAGATAAAAGAGTTCTCCGGTTGTTGATGGAACCCAATGAGTCAGCCTATGGTAAATCCTTTTTTCCTCGGCTTCTATGATCTCTTCTTCTTTTCATAGACAAACTTGGATACAAATTATGCATATGTGAAATGTTGAGCCTCTTCAAATTTCCCATTTTCAGTCAACCATGAAGTGAACATAGATTCCGTAACACTTTCTTTTTCAAATATATTTTCCATCCGGTCAAAATCAATGTAGTGTATTGACTTCTCACCGATGAGATGATAAAACATTCGTTCTACAATCGGTTTCCATTCATGAATTTTGTAAGAAAATACCGTCCAACATGCCTCACTTGGTGAGGCGTATCTACAATCGAGGTATTCTTTAATTTCGTCAATTAGTTGGTGGTGGTTAGAAGATGATTTATTTGAAGGGACAATAAATATTGTGATCCTGTCATATCCTTTGTGAATACACTTGAGCATGTACTTGGTAGAAGTATTTTGGTTACTAGGAATGGCAAAATGGGTCGGACCTGTCGGACCAGCTTGTTTGAACTACTGTATGACATGAAGAATTATTAAGTTGCCAATACATTAGCTCACATGTTTTCTTTAGAAACAAATGTTAATTTTAAGAAAAGGAAGAATTCGATTAGAGTATACGCGTGACAAGTTTAAGATATAATTGTTAAGGAATCAGTCAGTATAATATTCTATATGACGTAAACAATGAGAAAATCAGGTGTTAATATTTTATACACTACTATTTTATGCACTGTGATATTTTATGCACTGTAATGTTATCATTGTTTGTCTTGTGCAAGTTATTAATTGGGTTCTTTTAGTAATTAGTTTTTAAATAGGATTATGATGATATGTGTTGTTTATTTATTTATTTTGATACATTTTTTTATCGTGCTAGAGTCTATTTCGGTATGTTTTTCTTGAAATTGGTCTATATCAATTTTATTTTTTTAAGTGTTTGGACTTAAGACATGTTGAAGTTATATTATGCGTTGTTACAAAAATATCTTTTGTCGGCTTCTTTAGTAATGATTAAATTTTTTGTAAATTATGTAATAAATTAAATTGTAAAATAAAAAAAACTAAAAAAATTGGCGGGCCGGCCCGCCAACTCGTTAGTAAACGGGGCTGACTTGACTTTTGAGCTTGGATGCCTATGTTTGCCCGTCCCGTCCCGCTTTTGTACGGGCTTAAACAGAGCGGTCCTAAACGGGGAGAGCCACCCACTTTGCCACC